TTTTTCTGATGAGAAAAATATTAACAAATGTGATTTTGATATTGCATAATGAGATGTGCCAACATTTGGAAGATCTGAATAACTCAGTGAGCCAATATTTTCCAAATGACCAATGCATTATGCTAAAATCATGCCTGGGTAAAAGAACCATTCAAAGACTACATAGATAAACCAATATAACAGTACTTTAATGCAACAGTATATGGAAAGTTCATGGATACAGATTCAGACTCCACATTATAACTAGCTTTTAAGAAACTACCTTTTACTATCAAAGAAGAAAATCCACAATTATCTGAAAAGGCTATTAAAATATTCCTTTCTTATCCAACTACATACTTCTGTGAGGTCAAATTTTCTTCCTATACTATACTGAAGCCATATATCACAACTGTTTGAATACAGAAGCAGATGTGAGAATTCAGCTGTGTTCTATTAAGCTAGATATTTTAAAAACTTTAAAAAAAAAAGTAAAGCTATTCTAATTTTGACTATATATTTTTTCATTAAAAACGATATTTATATTAACATGTAATAGCTTATTGTTGCTATTTTTCTACTGATATAGTAAATATTTAAAACTTTCTCAGTTTTAATTTCTAATACAATAAGTACCTGTAGATATAACCTACATTTTAAAAAAAGAAAAGAGCCCGGCCGGGCGTGGCTCAGCGGTTGAGCGTCGACCTGGGATCCAGGCGATCGGGGTTCGATTCCCGGTCAGGGCACGTGCCCGGGTTGAGGACTCGATCAATGACTCTCTCATCATCAATGTTTCTGTCTCTCCCTCTCCTTTCCTCTCTCTGAAATCAATAAAGATATACTAAATAAATAAATAAATAAAAATAAAAAAGAAAAGAAAAAGCTCTTCGAGGACCTCATAAATGTGTAGGGTATAAAGAGGTCCTGAGACCAAAAAGTTTGAAAACTGTTGTCTAAGAGTTTCTGAAACAAGGCCCATGTGACTAGACCATATAAAATAAGAGGAAAGAATAGTAAGATGTGTCATTGGAGATTTATCCAGGTCAGATCATACAGAGTTTGTCAGCCATAAAAAGGAGTTTGGATTTTACTCAAAGTACAATTGAAACATTTTAAGCAGAATGTCATGATCAAATTTATGTTTTAAAAAAACGCAGCTGTGTGTAATGAGACAATGTGAATGAACTAGGGTTGGGGGATCTGAGATGGAGACATATAGATAAATCTGTGGTATTTTTGAAAGTACTTTGATATTAACCTCAAAATGAAGTTCCAAACAATATAAAATGTTTCCTGTTTCCATTTTAATGTTAAATAATGCAGTTGCTCTACGATCAAACTGAAGGTGGAGTGAGAAGAATCAACCTACTCAATGGTCTAGAAATGTCACATGTACACTAAATCCATATTCAATTTTTGTATAATGATGTTTAAAATTATTTTTAGTCAGTTTCAAATTTTTCTTAAAATGAAATACTATGAAATATTAACTCACAAATCATATCCTTATAAATTATATACTAAGGGAATAAATGAACCTGCAGATTCAGTCATTCGATAATGTAGCAGGCACTGTTTTAGACACTAAGATAAAGAGTCAACTGGGCAGACACTATCCCAGCTCTCATGGAACTTGTATTACAGAATGATTATTGGTAATTATTGAGGATTCATGGCAGAACACTAGAAGTGTTTCAAATAATTTATTCATTCAAATAAACACTTACTGGGTATACACTGCGTGCCAGGATCTGGAGACAAAAAGATTTGAGTAAGACAGGGATTCTGCCCTAAGACTTTCACAGTCTAGTAGAAACAATTAAAAAAATATACTTCCAATTATGATGTAGAGTGTCATAAGCACTATTATAGAGGCATGTGTGATGTACCAATTAAAAAAGAAGTGAAGGGGGTCAGTCACAAAGGAGGAAAAGTATACCTGAGTGTTGAATGGGAATCAGCTAATACATGGAGTAAGCAAAAGGAAGGGTCTGAGATATGAAAACCCCTAGCAGGTGAGATAGGGGGATATAGATCAGAAAGGTTGGTGTTTAATGCGTGAGTTTCAAAATTTTAATTTTAAAAAGAGGCCAACCATCAATTCTGTAATCTACACGCAAAACAACTGATATCCATACTCAAAGGAATTACTCACTATTCAATATGGTTTGGGAGCACTACGGAGAGAAAAAAACGAACAACTAGAAACCAAAATGGGTTCACAAACAGATATGTTACCCCCTAACGTCAGCTTCACAAATCATTTGATAGTTCAGGTTATTTCACCTAAACTTAGTCCTTACCCTCAAAGAAGGGAACCTTTTTTCTGTCAAGGGCCATTTGGACATTTATAACATCATTTGAGGGCCATACAAAATTATCAATTTAAAAATTAGCTATGAAAAAAGCTCCCAGATTTATTGAATTTTGAGTCCCGCCTGCGGGTGCCTTGGCAGGACCAGACCAAATGACTTCTCAGGCCATTTATGGCCGAAGGGTCAGATGTTCCCCACCCCTGCTCTAGAACTAGAGATGTGGTAACCACTAATTATAGTATGCACAATGTAACAAATCTAACAGTCCAAGTGAGTTCAAGGTGTTATTACAGACTCTTCCTATAGAGACAGAGAAGAGTGCGGTGAGGAAAGCCTTCACAGAGATGGTGATATAAGTGGTATCCTGAAAGATGAGTGGGTGTTTGATACCACAGACAAAGGGGACAGAGAAAGCATTATATACACAAGCCTATACCAACGTGGAGATGCCATGAAAGAGCAAGGCCTATTTACAGACTGAGGCAAAAGTAGCTAAGAAGAGGACAAAACAAAGACAGGCAGGCTGGGCAGTGATCACCGTGCTAGTTTGAATTTTAGCCACAAAGAAATAGGGAGGTAGGAAAGAAAAGTGACAGAACCAGAGTTGCCTTTTTTGACATGAAACATTAAAATGAAACATTTTAGAATGATTTTGACAACTAAAAGATAGTTTGAAGTGGGGTAAGAATTAGGAGACTGATAGGAATATACAAGAAAGGATAGGGACCTGCACAATCTCCTAAATTCAATTTACTCTCTTTCCTGCCAGAACTTCTCCTTCTGGTGAATGGTGTGTAACACCATTACTTCAGTGAACTGTATAAGTCTCCTAGAGCTGTCACAACAAATAACCAAAATATTGGTGGCTTAAAAAAACAAAAATTTATTCTCTCACAGTTCAGAATGCCAGGAGCCCCAAATCAAGGTACTGGCAGGGTTGGCTACTTCCGGAGACCCTGAAGGAGAAACTATCCCATGCCTATCTCCCAGCTTTTGGTGGCTGCCAGCAATCACTGGCATTTCTTGGCTTGTAGATGTGTCACTCCAAACTCTGATTCCATCTTCACACAGCCTTCTCCCCTGTGTCTCTGTACGTCCTCTGAGTGTCTCTATCAGGACACTCCTTTGGATTTAGGACCCACTCTAATCTGCTATAATCTTATCTATCTCCACCCTTACATTAATTTTATATGACAAGACTCTATTTCCAAATGAGGACACATTCTGAGGTTCTAGGTGCACATAAACTTGGGGAAACAATACTGAACCCAGTACAGGCATCAACCAATACATTTCCCAAACAGAAATGTGCTGTCATCCATACCCCTTCCTCTTTCTTATCTACATTACCAAATCCTGTTTCTACTTCTTCAGTTGAAGATGATCTCCCTTTCTTCATCCCCATTACCATTTTCATTCAACAACAATCCTGTCTATATAGCAAACTCCTTGCTACAGCACCGCATGAACTCAATTATCACTCTCATTACGGTGCCTGTTACTAAACAAGTAAGTATTGCTTGAGAAAGTCACACAACAAGGCAGACTGGTTGTACCAGGAGTTCATGATACTAACTCCAAGTAAGTCCTCGGCATTACCTGGCAGTCCTATTTCTTTGGCCAAATGGTTCTCCAACTCTTCCACAACTGCTTGAAATCTCTTTCCCTCTCCTCAAGCTCTTACTCCCACCCACTTTTAGCAGTAGTCCTCGGCCCCTATTTTACAGAAAATAAAGACCATCACCCAAAAGACTCCCTCAGCCTCCCTGCTCTCATCATCTCTCCTCTCGAAGGATAACTGCTGTCCTTTCAACACACGGCCATGCTCTCTATAGGGTTTTGGATCTCATCTTCATTCAGGAACCTTACTGATACCAACCACCCCTCTATTTCTCTAGAATATGCAGCTTTCCCCTGAACTAGATGGTTCTTATTGGCTTATAAATATGTTCAAGCTTACTGTTTCATTTAAAGGCAAAATGAAAACAACACCGCCCTTGAATGCTCCTCTCCCTTCCAGCCACCTTCGCGCCTCCTCCTTCTCCCAGACATAAACAAACGTGGTTTTGGAGAGACTCGTTTCTCCCGTTCCCTCGTCCAGGCCCCTTACTTAATCCCTGTAAAATGGGAATAACAATATTACACCTGTCCCACTGGGCCGTTGTGAGGATCAGATTAATCAATACATGTGAAAGACTTAGGGCTGTAAACAGAGAAGGGCGCTGAAGCTATTCCGCTTATCCCACTACATTTTCCTCAGAGCTTCGATCAAATTCCCCCTAACAGTTCATGCGTGCAGGAGACAGTACGCCCTGCGTGCGAGCACGGGCACTGATCTGAAATTGTCCACACGGTCAGGCCTGACCTGCCCGGTGGATGTACGAGCCTAGTCCATCAGGGTAGATCTAAAAACTCAGAAACGTTAGAAGGCGGGCTGCGGGAGTCTACGGACAGCCTTGGAGCCCAAGCCTCGGGCCGCCGGCGCGCCCAGCGAACGGCCGCAGCCACGGCGGCAAGGGGCGAGGGGCGAGGGCCCGGGGGCCCGCGTGGACCGCGCCACGCCGGCCTCGCCGCGCTTTCCTCAGGCCTGCACACACCCACTTCCCGCCGCCTCCGAGGCCCCGGAGTCCCCGTCGGCAGTTTCCTAGTCGTTTCGCCGATGCGTTAAGGGGGCGCTGCTGACTGGGGTCGGACGCCGCTCACCTCTAGCTTGTGGTTGATCTGGGACACAGTCTGGACTTTGTGGCAAAGCTGCGCGAAGCAGGAGCTCAGGCTGGTCATCTTCTGCCGCCCCTCGTAGGTGATGTCCGCCTGGTCCGGGTCGATCTCGCCCAGGAGCAGATCCACATCCACGAAAGCCTTGTCGAACTCCTTCTCCAGCACCTCCAGCCACCGGAACATGGACACCCCACCTGCGGAGACCCCCACAGCGCAGGAGGCGC